GAGACTCCATCTCAAAAAAAAAAAAAAAAAAAAAAAAAGAAAAAGAAGAAGAAGTAAGGAGAGATTATCTCTGCAGAGAGGGTGAGTGGAGTTCATTCAAAGAAAGCTCAAAGAATGGGTAACTTTTGAGTGGGATTTTGACAAATGAGTAAGAGTTTAGTATCTGCCTGAATGCCTTGTGCACTCATCAAACTCACTGAGTATGGGAAGTGTTAGAAGGTTCTTAGAAAAAAAACAGGAAAATGAAAACAAAAGTTTAACGATAAACGATGAGGCTTTAAATGGGGTAGGGCTGAATGAAGAAGAACCAGCTTCAGTACAGTGAGGACCATGGAAGGATTCTAAGCAGACAGGCATAACATGGTCAGCTCTTAGTTTGGGAAAGATGGCTTTGGTGGCTGGTGGAGGAGAATGATTGAAGTGAGAGCGTGAAGACACTTTTGTGCTAGCCCCAGTGAGAAACACAGGAGCTCAATAGCAATGGACAGGAGAGAAAAGACCCAGAAGTGGCCTCAGAAGTGATTAGCTGACTGTGAAGGGGTGAGAGAGAGGTTAGGGCGAGAGGTAGGAGCAGAACTCAGGCTCGCCTATTCCATAAACTGAGATGGAGTACCGGCTTCCCTCGGGGGCCTGTTGGGCCCTCAAGAATGGAAATAAAAGAAATTCTTGAGTTCCTTTAAGGGGAATTCCAGGCACCTAGCTAGCCATGAGAAGTACATGAGCAAGTTGATAAGCAAGAAGGTAATAGTAGCATTAAACAATAGCCAAGGAAGTTAGAGTTACAAGATGTTTGGTTCCCTGTAGAAACTAAAGATAACATTTTAACTCATGTCCCTCAATTACTTTTCAGAAACCCAGAACTCCACCAAATGGAAAATGCCATCTGCTGGCATGTAGATCTCAGATAAGGGGGAACTAAGGACTCAGCTCTGACCACAGCTCTTTGTTCTAAAGTTCTTCCTGAGGATCCTGGAGGAAGTAACGCCCATGGGCCAGACCTAATATTCATTTCTGCTGACTCCAAGTCTTCAAATAAATCTTCCCTTCCTTAATCAATTGCAAATCAGAAAATCTTTGAATCTCCCTATGACCTGTACAGCCCTGCTTCAAGATATCCCATCTTTTTAGGCCAAACCAATGTATAAACTCCATGGATACATTTATGATTTTGCTTATAACTTTTGCTTTCCTGAAATTTACCTTTGCTTTTAAAAACCCTTGCTTAATTAAAAATCACGGGGGAGGTTGGGTTTTAAGCATGAGTTGCCCAATTCTCCTTGCTTGGCACCCTGCAAATAAATGCCCTCCTTTTTCCTGCTGCAAAACCTTGGTGTGGATGTTTGGCCTTATTGCACTGGACTAGTGGACTCTAGCTTGGTTCAGAAACAAACTACCATCTAACAATGTCTTCACAAAGACGAGCAAGTCTCAGCTCAGCCATGAGGATCTCATTCTGGTGGTGAATGTGTGGGCGGGATATTATTTTAGTTGAGGGATCGCATGAACATAGCTTTGGAGGTGTGTAACTGACAGGCAAGCTCTTGTACTTTGCAGCAGGAGGTGACATCTCTTCTGGAGCAGATCAGCAAGGCTTGAAAGTCCCCAAGAGCCACCTCTCTGAGTTCTTTAGACACCAAGTCTATAGACTGATGGAGTTCCTCAATCATGAGAAAAGGAGGAAATATCGAATGCATTAAGTGTATGCAGTGTGAAATAGCCATGATCCAGGAGCTGAAGATCCAACTTCCGTTTTCTATTAACCCCACCACTCAGGGTGCCTGTAGGGAATGCAAAACCAGGGATATAATGAGCAGAAGCTCTCAAACCAATAAGCATATCTGGACTTGGTGAGACTCAACCTCCCACTTCCCCATAAGTTTAAAAATAATTCTAATTTATAGCACGTGTTATTCTAATTTCGGAGTCACTCTCTCTAAATACTGCACTATTACTATTGTTACTATGATCTGCTCAGACAATAGGAAATGGTAACAGGTTCCGTTTACATTCTTAAAATGAATGTACACTTGAAGAACAATTCATTGTTGAGTTTTATGTGCACGCACTGGCAAGTCAGGTCTCTAGTAGTTTAACTTTTACATCTATGTGTATATGTATTTACTACCATCTCAATCCATTGTTTTGATAATTGAATTGGGAGATCATTAGGCTGAGACACCTCCCATGCCTTGGGTTCCTGTGTAAGCAAACCAAAGCCCAAATCAGAGTGAATGATCACAGCCTAGGGAAACAATCTTAACCAATCAGAAATTGCCAACTAACCTCTAACTACAACTTTCAACTTCAACCATCAAATAATTTGTTTTGCTTCTGAGAACAGCTTATTCAGTCTCTTTGAATCAGGCAACTGTTTGCAACTGGTGCTGCCAGATTCATTAATTGCTGTCTGCTCAAATAAACTCTTTTAAGATTTTAATGTGCCCAAGTTTATCTTTTAGCACCATCCTTCCCTGAACACAGCCATTTCTTCTCTTTCAGATTAGAATTGATAACTTGGCCCCCAGCAAGCCCCAGTAATCCTGCTTTCTTAACCTGATAGCATTTAAATAGTCGTCCCTCGGTATGCATGGACCCCCAGGGATACCAAAATCCTCAAATGCTAAAGTCCCTTACATAAAATGGCATAGTATTTGCACAACTGATGCACATCTTCCTGTATATTTTAAATTCTCTCTGGATTACTTATACCTAATACAGTGTAAATGCAATGTAAATAGCTATTATACTGTGTTCTTATTATTTGCATTATTATTGTAGTGTTGTTTTTTATGTTTCCTGAGTATTTTCTATTTGCCCTGGGTTGAATCTGCAAATGCGGAACCCATGGATACAGAGGGCTGACTGTAATGGGCAGTGGTTATGTATTGTCTTTTTTTGTTTGGAACATCTTAACTTTGTTCAACCATCCCCCCAAAGAATTTAGTTTCTTATAGAATCCACATTTGTTACCATCCTGATCATTTACCCGGGCAGAATCCAGCTTGTAACAATTCTTCCTAGAAGGATGGATTTTATTTTATTTTATTTTATTTTTGAGATGGAGTCTCGCTCTGTCGCCCAGGCTGGAGTGCAGTGGCGCGATCTCGGCTCACTGCTCTGCCTCCCGGGTTCATGCCGTTCTCCTGCCTCCGCCTCCCGAGTAGCTGGGACTACAGGCGCCCGCCACCATGCTAATTTTTTTGTATTTTCAGTAGAGACGGGTTTTCACCGCGTGTTAGCCAGGATGGTCTCGATCTCCTGACCTCGTGATCCGCCCGTCTCGGCCTCCCAAAGTGGTGGGATTACAGGCGCGAGTCACCGCGCCCGGCCATGGATGGATCTTATTTTGAACTCAGCAAGTGTCAAGTCATGCATAAGAAATATAATGAAAGGATTGTCTGGGCGCGGTGGCTCACACCTATAATCCCAGCACTTTGGGTGGCTGAGGCGTGTGGATTACCTGGCCAACATGGCGAAACCCCGTCTCTACTAAACCCTGTCTCTACTAAAAACACAAAATAGGGTAGCTGGGCATGGTGGCGCCTGCCTGTAATTCCAGCAACTAGAGGATCTGAGGCAGGAGGCTCGCTTGAAACTGGGAGGCGGAGGTTGCAGTGAGCCAAGAATGTGCCACTGCACCCTGGTCTGGGCAAGAGAGCAAGACTCCCTCTCAAAAAAAAAAAAAAAAAAAAAAAGACAAAGGAAAAGAAATGTAGTGGAAGGATTACAGCCAGTCAACTGAACTAATTCAAGCCAGTATTCCATTAGGATTTATAGTCACATACACTTGCTTTTGATCTTGCAGTTAACTACCTTGGTATAAAAGCAGAGAAGCTCCCCCCAGAGAAGGCTGGAGAGTGCCCCAAAGGCTGAACTTAGCCTTCTCCCAAACCTCTTCCATCTCCAACCTGTGAAACTAAGTCCTGTGGGAAGTGCTGGCCAGACATTACCTTGTGTTTTGCTAAAATGAAATCCGGGCTGGAGGACAACTGCTGAAGTCTAACAAGCTAGCCTCAGTTTCAATTACATTGCAGGGATGCAAAGGGAAGAGGAGAGGTAATTACATTTGCCTTAAACAAAAGAACTCTAAATCCTTGGCTGGGTGCAGTGGCTCATGCCTGTAATACCAGCACTTTCTGAGGCCAAGGTGGGTGGATCACTTGAGATCAGGAGTTTGAGACCAGCTTGGCCAACATGGTGAAACCCTCTCTCTATTAAAATTACAAAAATTAGCTGGGCACAGTGGCGTGCGCCTGTAGTCCTGGCTACTTGAGAGGCTGAGGCAGGAGAATTGCTTGAACCCAAGAGGTGGAGGTTGCAGTGAGATCGCAACATTGCGCTCTAGCCTGGGCAACGCAGCAAGACTGTCTCAAAAACAACCCAAACCCAAAACCAAAACCAAAACCAAACCAAACAAAACAAAAACTCAACTCGAAATCCCTATTGGAAACTACTTCTTCTTCATATGATGCTGGAGAATGCAGTGTCCATGGACATGGTTACTAAAGGCTTGAAAAATAGTATTTTATCCAGAATTATTTACTTTAATGTATTATTGTTCTGTTCCTCATTCCCCACTCCCCAACATGAGAGTCTTGATATCTGACTCTAAAAGTTTTAAGTATTATACACATATGTCTTTTAATACAACACACTGCAAGTTCTTTTTGGAATCAGACGGGGGTCATAAACAACAAATACACAAAGTATCTCAAGAATCAACTAGGTGAGTTTGTAGATTTTTGCTGGATTGTCTGCAGTTTTCAGTTTTATGATTTCAGCCTAGAAGACTTCCTGTTGGCTATTTTCAGAAAACCAGGGACACAGCTTGAGGGCTGAGTTAACTCCGTTAGTTCATCTTCCAGTTAGATCTATTTTTCTGTCTCTCCATCAACAATAACTGCCCATCAGAGTAAGTTCAGTTCTAAGTGAGGGTTCTGAAATTGCTCTGTAACTTTTGTTCTAGTGATCACTGCATATGAAGTAATCACATGATCACATTTAATATTCTGATGGTTTTATTAACAAGTATATAATATATATTGCATACTGTATATAGTATATGAGGACTGTACAGTACAAATTTATGTTCACAGTTTGACATGACAAAATGTCATTACTGAATTCCCATTGGACTACAGAGTAGAAACAGAGAAGGTACATTAAACATTCACATCTTTAGTAAGAAAGATTACCAAAATGTTTCAGTATCTGCAAGTATACTAATGCATGCTAAAAACCTTTACCCATTCAGTCTTATTAGCTTATAAAATATATTACACTTTATTAAAAATTTCTGCATAGTTTATACAAGTATTAAAGTACTGTAAATGTAATAATCCTGCTATATTTGCAGGTATGGTTTAAGAGATGCTAAGCAGAAAGATTATTTTGACCCTCTAACACTAAGTACATAACAGAAAAAAAGTGCTAGTATTTGTAAAACAATATCGTTGTAGCCCTCGTTTAATGCATGTAAAGATGGCTTTGTAAATGTATTGTTTAGGTGAATTTGCGATCATTTAGCAATTGTTAACCTTGACCAAGAAGAGAATAAAGACAGCTTGGAGCAACTTCATGTATGACAGCAATTCCTTCAAGACAACTGTATATTTTCAAACCAAATTATTTTAAAACCTTAGATCTTTCAGATTGTCTTTAAAACAATCTAATCAGGAATGATGCGCAGATATACAGTATCAGCAAAATAGTCTTTCAAATTCCACATTAGTGCAATACTGATAGTGCAGATGGGTGTTTAATAAAATATACATATACATATATAGTTCCCCTGTAATTCTGTTCCAAGGCTCTTGAAACTTCTGTGTATTTAGCATCTCCCTAGTTGAATATAGCTATGCTGCTAACACAGTCTCCAAACCAAGCAATTTAGAATGTTAATGCCCATTTATGATGTAGATTCACATAACTCTAAAATACAATGGATTCTGATTCTTCTGACTTCTCTAGGATGACACTTGGGTAACAATTGAAGAAACTCTATAACAAACAGAATTTACATAATAGCAACTTCATGTTTACAAATCATTCTCATCAATTTAAAATATTGCGACTGAAATCGCCATTGGTAGTAACATGACACACATCATTAAAACATGTTCAAGGGCATCTAATCTTGTATTTGAGGTCTTCCACAATAACAGCTAAAAATGACTAAGAGGCTAAATTTCTCAACTATCATAGTAAAATACAAATATATATATAAGAAAAGTTTGGTAAGGGCCAATTGGTAATGAAAGCATATCGACCAGCATGGGAATAGAGAATGGATGCTCTGGGTTGCTTTTGTTCCAGAGTTAAAATGGATCTTTGTTAAATGAACTGTTAACACAATCTAAGCAAGCTGAACTGTAACATTTAAGAGTCTTTGCAAGGTCTTGCTTAAAATCTTTTGAACAAAATTTAAATATGCCACAGCAAATGCATCAATTCCATGAGATGCCCATGAGGCTGAACTCAGGCTCCAAGCTGATCCCAGATCAATCTGATCCTTTCTCACCCTTTCCCCACTTCTCTGTGGATTGGAACACACATAAACTGGTTACCTCGGTCAAAACAAAAACAAAAAGGTTTTCCTTGCGTTCCATCTTGATTCTTGTGTGTTGTGGAAGAACCATCTCAAGAAATGAACACTTTGCCATGAATATGACTAAGCTTTTACAATACAGACTATATCTACTTTTCAAAGAGCCATTTTATCACTCAATTTATGTCATAGTTGCAAAAAAGAAAAACTTTAGCTAAAAAAAAAAATTTTTACCTTTAGCTGAAAAACAAAACAAACAGCCCAATTAGGATGTTTTAATATCCTAAAGAAATTTTGCAGTGCTATAAAAAAAGGAAAATCAAACCCAAGTGCCAAGATAACACATTTCTTTGCATTTCTCAACTACATTTCTTTACAGCTGGTTCACAGGGCGGATGAGTGGGACCTCTTAACCTTAGGTGCACAGTCCCTACAACTTTTATTAACATAGTGCCATCAAAGCAAGCTCCCCACACAATTCACAGGCCTCCAGAATCACTCATTCACAGATGTTTTAAAAATGACCAAACAATGTATTCCTCCCAGTTAAAGTTGTGTTGGATCCTGAGTTGTGGCTGGGATGAATCTTCAGGATTTCATTCTTCTCTCTTCTCCTCCATTCTTGATGAAGGGGAATTTGGTTCATTTAACTATTGTTGCTCACTTTCTTCAAATTTAGGACCAATGACATTTCTATGTATGAATTATTTTTATTGGCATTTAGACTATGGTGCTCAAAAGCCTGCTTTTGAATAACTTCCCCCAATAATGGTGCTATTTATCTTCAACATAAACACGAGCCATTATTTTCAGTTTGTTCTGACACTGAAACAGTGATAGGAAACTGCCAGCTCTAACAGTAAACTTTTGGGAATTTTTGAGCTACATATATGAATCCCTGATCTGTGGTTTTCTATATTTTTTCATAAATTCCCAAAATAAAGGTATGTGTGCTTCACAACTAGTTATATTTACAAATAGTGTCACTCAGGTCTTAATTGAATCAATCTCTTAAAGCATTAGCAGATGCTTTATGGGATGTGTCATGAATACAAGTGACAGCAAATTTGGCACCTTACAGCTCACACAGAAGAGTTTCTGTATAAAAGCTATGTGATTAATTTGATAAGGGAATACAAGTACCACTCAACATTTCCCTGTTTACAAAAAAAGCTATAAGCAGATTGGGTAAAAGAAGAACCATCCATACTCTTACCCAAAAGATTTCTTACCATTACTGGGCAAATATTCCACAGAGTCCCTACTATCAATGTTTGATGATCTCATATTAAGGACATTGTAGGAATGGAGATAGTTGCATGGATAACCCCATCGGTATGTGGCTTTGCAGCATGGTTCTGCAAAGCTGAGAATGCACAGAGACTGAAGCTCTGGGAATGCTGCACACAGCTAACAAAATGTTCACACCTCACTGACAACCCCTAGCCCAGGAGGAATTGCCTCTTCTGCTCCCCACTGCTCAACGGCCCTCTCCTCCGACTCCATGCTATGAAAGCACAGCACTCTTCCCTTGAACCACTACACATCACCCACCTAGATCCAAAGTTTGGGCTCATCTCCCATTGGTGGCAAAGACCTCCATATGAGCTGCAGGCACAAAGGAGGGCAAAGAACTTGATTCAGATGAAGTCTAAGATCCAGGCTGACAAGATTTGTGAAGGATGACGGAAGAGGTGACTGCACTAGCTTGAAATCTTGCTGTACTTCTAGCTAACCGGTGCAAGGGGCCACCCTTGTTTTCACTGTCAAGCATAAAATATTATCACAGGGCAGAGGTAAGAATGTCTCTGGCAAGGACTAGCAGTCTGGATACTGTATTTCTAATACATTTACTCTGACATTCTTTTGAGGAATACATGGAGAACTGACAATTGGTTATGTTAGTTTACATGTTCCCTTGTTCTTATTACATTAAACGTATCTATAAGAAGGGTTTGCTTAGCATCCCCAGAGGAAAAAAAAAAAAAAAAAAGTGTTCACATTCTTTAGGTCTGACCCGTGGTAAGGAGAGGGAGGATTAGAGAACGTCTACTACTGACCATATGGAAGTTTTGGATGATATAAATTCCGAGATTCAGACCAGCTGAATCAAATTAAAATGTACATGTAAAAAATGTGTTAGATAATGGGAGGCAGGACAGAGAGAGAGCCAGGTGAGTGGGGAGTCACGCTGAGGCAGGACACAGAGGCGATCAGACTAGCATGTGGCGTTTCCTATGGAGGGCAAGATGGTCAGAACGGGAGAAGCTACGGTCGCAGTCCGGGCACTGGAAAGGTTTGATTCCAGTATGTTTTCGGAAATGTCTTGTTAGTTCATCAGACCGAGCAAACTTCCATGTGCATCCTTCCCATGTACATTTGTAGGGTTTTTCTCCTGCAAAAGGAAAAAGAAAAGAGCTATTTTTGCCTGTAAAGGCAGTAAAGATCTTTGAGCTAATGCTTGACAAATAATATTTTCAAGATATGTTCATACATTTGTTCTTCAATAACACAGTGCATTATAAACTACTGCAGGACAAGCAAGAAGAAAATGAACTAATAGCTTAATGTTTCATTGGCTCTCTGCCAAAAAAAAAATGGGAGGAGAATTTTAAGAGTTCTTAAAACACAGAGTCACTGAAATCCATTCTGAGGGACTACCAAATAGTGATGAACACATGGTGATCTGTATTTGCATATCTCCCAAATCTTAAACCTGCTTGGGAGCTTAATTATATGCAGTGTTATTCATTTAATGAGAACTCCAAATTGAAAGTTTGTGGGATTTTCTTATACTTTTCAATAGTTTTCTAAAAATATGAAGTCTCTAACAACTGAAATATCTGCTAGGGATTAACATCTTACTTTCTTGTTTAGGCAATAACAATTATGCCTAAGTATAATGCTCTAATTCAGGGGCACTAAAATACACAAACTCTTCCCCATCTGTCCTGAGCCAGGTTTTTACAACCCCCTCCTGTAGGATAAGGATAATTTACATATGAGGAACAGAAGCTCCTTGTGAGAAAATGATAGGGAGAACCAGGATGATGGGAGATCCTCACAAATAAAAAGGCTGTTATGGAAATCTTACATTTTAAATTAGTCATAAGGGTCATGAGTATGACAAATTAACTCCCATTTAACACCCCTTGTTCTCTAGAAGCCTTGAGGGATTACCATTCCTTGGCATTTGAATGAGATATTTAGGATTTCTACTATCTGCTTCCTGGTACAGAATACACACACAAAGAGGCATTTTTTCCTATATCTAAACTGTCACCCAAATATTCAATGTCTTTCTAATTTTAGGCTGGAAGTTGGTAATATCCACCTCTTGGGTTCCACTAATGCCCCAACAATGCCCTCAGTAATCATCGATTTGCACTGCTGTTTGGGCGTTGCTGTAGACACAAGGCCATCACGCTCAACTCTCTCTGTGGGTGTTAGCTTCCTCTGCCTCCTCCCAGGATTCACTTAAAAACTTCACTTCCATTTTGCCACTTTCCTTCCCTTTTCTCTTCCAAACCTCAGATTCCTCTTTGTAAATTTTCTGAGTAAAAATGATTTGCAAGACTCAGAAAAGCAACCTACACTGCTAACGAAAATGTACACAGACGAAATGACAGCAAACTGCTGTCAAACTAGAATTTCACATCAAAGAGTTTGAGGTGAGATGAGCCTTACTGTATATGCATCACCACTACTAATAGTCAATCAGGCTGTTAAAACATTTCATTTTTAATTTTTTTTTAGAGACAAGGCCTCCCTATGTTGCCCAGACTGGACTTGAACTCCTGGGCTCAAACAATCCTCCTGCCTCAACCTCCCAAGGACCTGGGACCACAGGTGCACGCCACTGCACCTGGCTGTTAAAACATTTTTGTATTATTTCCTTAAGATGTTTTACTACCAAAACATTTGGCACTGAGACCAACTTCACATTTTTCTTGGCTATAATGACCTTTGTATGATTCGGCTGCTCATGTTCTATATTCAGTATTGGGCAAGATGGAAGAAATCCTAAAACAAATATGGTAGGCAACAGCATAAGAGCTCCCTCAAGTTTAGAAGACAAATATTAACCACATTTCTTCACCTTTCTTTCCTTCAAGGACAGTCTTCTATATGAATTGTTTGTGTTAAACTGTTGCATTAATTTGTGCTACACAAAGACTGTTCTTGGCTCTCATGAATTTACAATGCATGTATGTGAAATAGCTCGTAGGGAGGCCACATCCTTGGCTGTGAAAGCACTTCCCCCGTTCCAGTGGCAAAGGTTCCAACCCTTTCTCCCTCCTTTGCTAGAGAGCACAGAACTGCAAGTGATAGTGAGCGGCCTTGTTTTGGGGATTACTTTGAATCTACTCTAACTTATTACCAAGGCGAATCATTGGCAACATCTTCATTCTGCACAACTAATCTGGAGACGACACATCTGGAGATGACTATGGTAACTTTCAAGATGCCTGAAAACCTTTCATCGTAACAACCTTTGCATTCCATTCTAATACTTCTTAAGAAGAAAGATGAAGTGGGTCTGGTGTTTCTAATACCTGTGTGTGTTCTTCTGTGTGCTTTCAAGTGGGAGCTTTTAGTGTACACTTTGTTGCATCCATCATAATCACATCTGTGTATCCTCCGCTTCCTTTGAGTATCCGGGGATTCCACAGGTAAAGGTCTCTTCCCAGGCTGCACGATGACCGAAGGGTGATTCCTGTGAAAGCCAAGGTTACAGGCAAAGTGTTGAGAGCACGTTCTTCTTTTTTCATCAGTCTACTAAAAGCATTAACAACACTGGGCAAAAACAAACAAACAAAAAATCCCGACAAAATAAACAGAAAGAAATTAGCTGATCAACCCAAGAAGCACTGCTATATTCATTCAACAAACATTGAGTGAGCACCTACCATGAGCCAGGCACTGTGCTTGGCACCGGGACACAAAGATGAATAAAAACAGGGTTCCTGCCCTCGAGGAGCTCACACTCTAGGGGGAGACAGACATGGAGATAAGTAATGACAGTAAGAAGGGTTAAGTGCTATGCTAGAGGCAGGCGCCGAGTGCTGGGGAGGCTCTTTCCCTCAGTCAACTTTTGCCTATTTATAGAATCTTGCGGTTCTAGGCAATGCTGAACACTGTATTTTTTCACAGGCTGCTCTGATTTTCATTATTGTTGGCTAGGGAAAAATGGAAAAGATCAAACTCCTAAGTCTCAGGAAACCACATTGTAGGGTATATCTATGTTTCTAACCTTTATGTAATTGGCATTTAATTGGAGTCCCTTTGAGACTGCCAATTCACATGCAATTTTCAAATGCCGGCTCTTCCAAAAAACAACAAAAAAGTTGGCATTGCTGTCTTCACAAACTCAAACCTCCACTGTCACTGTGATTCCTGTATGAGGGAGAATTTCAACGCAGTGTTGTGGTCACCCATGATGCTGGCTCACGTGGTGCCGGCTCCCCCATGGGACGCCTGACATTCTCCCTACCTTCCTGATTTCTCTCATTCCTGAGTTTGCGCCTTCCCTGGGTGGACTCGAAACCAAATCCTGTTAAAAATCTTATAATCTAAGCTTTCTTTTTTTCAGCAAGAAGGTGGTGGAGAGAAAAGGGAGATGGAGGAAGAGCTGGGAAAAGTCTGTTACGTTCCTCGGCTTCCCCTGCTGATTAATGTAAGTAATTATAATGTTCTAATCTGCTCATTCACTTTCCTAATGACTAATTACTTGATATATCACAAGTGTATGTTGTTGGCCTCTAACTGTAATGAAAGACTTCTTTCTCTTTCATATTTAAATCTATAACTCCTAAAATGTTCCATAAAATACAGGAATATTTTGCACAAGTGTGTTTGAGGAGAAAAAAGATGTGTGAACAGGGAAAAAAGAACTTGATGAGTAAACACTCTAACTAGTGAGCTTAAAAAAAGAATAAAAAAAATTTATCCATAAAAATCAAAAGGGAGTCTCTTGATATAAAACTTGTCTTGGTAAATATTTGAATACACATCCCTTGTCAATAACTTTTTCAGGCATGCTAAGAAGTGACTAGAAAATGAATAAAAGGTGTGTTTCTTAAGTGACCTTACTTCTCATGCTTTTTTTTTTTTTAATTATTTTAAATTATTTATTTATTTACTTCTCATCCTTTATTATGAGCAAAGGAAACCGTCAGTGTTGACTCTCACCTTCCTACTCTAGTACCTGGAAAGGGGGTAGAGATGGATAGGCCAAGTTTGGATACATGGAAAAGTGAACATAAAATAGTGAGGAGGGGGAAAAGAACAAGGACTTCAATTATATATATAAATATATATATGTGCAAACAAACAGTAGAGAACACAGCAAAGTGAGAGGTTCACAGAGTTTTTATAAGCTGAATTATTCATTTAAAATCCTTCAATAGAAAGAAAAAGTTCAGTTTATTTTTAACTTTCAGCCTTAATGTCATCTAATGAAAACGTTTCATCTCCATTAAAAGAAATTCAGGAAATAAAGTGCTGGGGTAGAAATTTAATTATTATCTATAAAACTTTCACATATCTTTGGGATACTGGGAGACTATCTTTCTCAGACAACTTTAGAAATCTCTCCCAATTATTGGATTTTACGGGTTGGGAATCAAATGGTTTCTGTGCAGTAATTCTGATTGCCCTTTCCAGTTGTTTATTTTACATATAAAGGTGCACCGAAAGGCTGTGGGCTGCGGTTACAAATCCCAGCTTTGTCACTGATAGTCTCTGTGATCCTGGGCCAAGATCTCGCCCTCTCTGTGTCTCGGTTTCCTCTCTGTTAACTGGGGATGATGATAATGTTATCTCAGAAGGTTATATCTCAGAACAATGTCTGTTCCCAAGATAAAGCTACTAAACGGTAGCCATGAATATTGTGAGGTTCAAAATACTCTATTTGTAACTTTGTACCCTATGGTTGTTTAATTTCATGAGTTTTTTGAGGATGTCCCCAAACCAGGATATCTCTGCTTGAGCTGTGTCCCTTAAGCCTTCTGAGCACGGTTAGCTGCCGCATCTCTGAAGAGACTGATGTTGGTTCAGGCCAAAGCTAGATTAAGAGTCTTGGGATCTCACACTTTTCGGTCTCTACTCCCATTTTCAAAGAGGTGGTTTGGGATTATTATCACTAAGAAGTTAGAGAGCTAATACATATAAGACATCTGTCCACTGTTTTGAGTTGAGTCAGCCCTTCTTAAGTTTGCTATAATTCACATACACAACTCAATAGGGAAATCTGATCTTATGATTTTTGTTCTAAATATAGTTTTATGTATTTAGAACAAAGAAATCTTTTTGTAAATCTAGAACAAAAAGAATTTGATGTACCTTTGAGTGCCTTTATAAATAATCCTAAAGCTGTAACACCACAATCAAGCAAATGGATTTCAAACCTGCACTTTTAAGTCTGCCTCTGGAAAGGAAGGGTTTCCTAAGGCAAATATTATTGGGGCTGCCTCACTGCAGTGGTACTGGGTGCCTAGTTTCAAGTGATTCTTTCCTGGCTAGCTGGTTTCCTACGTGGGCTGCTACTGGGCATACTCCAAGACGTTACTTAATCACACCTGTGAGAACATTACTTAAAGAGTACATGTCCCAGCTGTGGCTCATCTGTTGCATTTTTTTGAGAAGCAGAATGCATTCTTAGGTCAGCTTTAAAAAAAGCATATTACTCATTAATCATTAAAAGCCACTGAGCTTGAGATCATCAAAAGAATAGTACTTAAAACAAGAGAAAAGTATTTTCTTTTGAGCAGCATTCAGAGCACAGAATATTGCTTTCAAATCTTCTGCAATGTTTTACACCACAATTCACAATAACCCAGACTTTGGAATAACACTTGTCCAGTCAACGGATCCCTCCCTATGGAAGCACTTGGCTTTATTTAGTTTTATAGCATCTTTTTCATCACCCATGCAGGAACAACGGTAAGTGCATGCCATGTTGCTAGTTACCTTGCCAGAAACATCTCTCAACATAAAAAAAGTTAATTCCACCTTTAAGATGTATCCATTTTGCCTAGTCATATTTTTCCTTTCACTTGAGTGCATGAGCAGATGCAACGGGTTGGATATGACAAGATGGCAAGAAAAGCCCTGATTCGGAAGCAGGAGATCAAGCCCAGGGCCCCTCAGCTGTTAGCAGTGTGATTACTGGTGAGTTATCTAATGTCTCAGGTAATCCGTTTGCCTTTTGCTCTGACTCCCACATGCTTGTGGTGGAGGAATGAAATAATTTCTTTGAAAACATCTGGGAAGTTTTTTTTTTGAGGGAAGAGGGCACTATGCAATTGTGAGGAATAATAAAATATAATTCCATCAGAGACTCTCTCCCTACTGCTGATGCAGTTGGCTAAGAGTTATTCTCTTCTTCATCTATTGACGAGCACATGACAACCCAAACCAAAAATGACTATGATTGGGTGCAGTGGACAATTAATCCATGAGCTACTATGAAGGTACCTACCCGAGCTGAATGTGGATACAACTAGGATATATTTGAAGTTGCCCATAAAATAGTTATTCTAAAATCAGAGAATTCACATTCTGCTGTAGAGTTAACTGTGAGAGGGAGTGGGGTGGAGGGGTAGAGAAGATCAAGGAGAAAGGTGGGTAGAACATTTATTCAAGTGGAGGAAAACGATGCAGGAGGATGATGGGAGGGACACTGTGGAGGTAATCGTTGCCTTTGTACTCGGAAGCTGGCTGCTGAATCCAATGTTGAAGCACCGTAACACAAGACAATTACAACTACAATCAATAATGAAAACAGAAATGGGGGCAGCAAATTAAGTGACTAGTCCAAGATCACACATATGATAGAGAACAGAGGTGGGATCCTTGCTGGACCTGAAGGCCATCTTCTTAGCAACTACAAACCCAGCCTTCAGTGTAATCACTGGTGGAGGCCAAGGTTATCTACAGTGGGATCCCATAAATGAGGCTGCTGAACCTATATGTGGCACGACCACATTATACCATGTTAGACCTACAAGAAACCACCATTCAGGTGCTTGGATGCTGACCAATACCGCACAACCTTCCTACTGGATGGCAATTCTACAGGATACTATACACTCTGTAAGGACTAAGTGTATCCACATGAAAACTTCACTTGATCCACAGAACACCAAGTTTAATCTATACAAGGATTCTCATCATGGAAAAACTAAGTATACATAGCCTGGAAGAATGAAAAAAAAAAACAACAAAAATAATTCATGTGGTAAGGTGCAAAATCATGGATGACTGATTCAACGAAAACTTGATGTAAATTTTGTCATAACGTTGTCAGTGTAACAGCATATTGTTTTTGGAAGGATTCTCCCATCTTGACTAGTGGTACCGGACCAGTGGCGGCCACAGACTACAAGCTGTTCCTGGTCATCCACACCACATCACACGTATGAAATCTTGTGCTTCCGTTCCAGGTTCCAAGATGCACGCTACTATGCAAATGCTGGGTAGGCCTAAATATACTTACTCTTGCAACAATGCTTGCGGGGGGGACACTGAGTTCATTAAGGGGGGTGACATTTCTTCAGGATAATAATCTGTCCTCTGTGGTTCAATCCCAGGTTCTATTTTAATTTTTTTCTGTGATATAGGCTTCTCATATGATTCAATTACAGGTACTAAAAAATAAAAATAGAAAAGTCACTCCACATACAGTTTACCAATTTCAGCTTTTCAAAGCTTATTGCATATAGCTCCTATCTACAACATAGATATGACAGATTTATTTGCCTTTGGCAGATTATAGCAGGAACAAATCTGGGGGAGATTCTCGCCTCTCCTGACCATTATTTTGCCAGTAAGCAGCAAATATAGGGACCTGGATTCTAAAACACCAGCCCTGAAATGATTCGTTCTTATAATTCTGGATTATTTCCTTTCTACCCCATAGTCCTCTGTCTATGACCAGCTGGTAAACAAGGTGGCTTTTGATTGCTATTAGTTTTCACCACGATCAAAAAGTATTTATTAAATGCCTTTTGTACTTAGAACCATGTAGGAATTCAAGAAAGCGACATAAAGTCAAGATTCTTTCTGTCCCCAAGTTGACTATTACATAGGGAAAGTAATCGTCTCATGGTATCAAACAGACAGCCCGATTCTTGGGACCTCTTCCAGTATCAACACTTCAGGGGGGAAAAAAAAGAAAAGGAAATGCCTTAGGCAGATGAGTATTTCCTCTGAAGAGTTCAACAGCTCTTGCCCCCGTGCTTCCTCACCCAGCCCATCTGGTGAAGCGCCAGTACACTAAGCAAGTGCAGCAGCATGAAGCAGTGGCGGAATTTACCTTGCATGCTACTACTGGAATTTTCCATCTCCTCCGACAAGGAGACCATGAGAGGCTGCTGGAGGTGACTCGTGTACATAAAGGGGACGGGCTGCACCACCACCGGCTGGATGACGGGCAGGATCCCCGGGCTCCGTATTCCGTGCCGTGAGAGAGCAGCTGCCATCACTGGTGGCATGGACAGTGGCACGCCAAAGGGCTGCACGCCTGGAGAAGGGGGTGAGTATTTTTTTATCGGTGGGCTGGAAGATGGCATGCTCAACCCAGGCGAGGCTCTCCGGTGTGAGGACGGGAACTTCAGAGAGGAGGGCGAATTCCCAGCCGAAGGGGGTGAACTCCGCTTGTTCACCGTGAGGTCCACTGGCTCCATCTGTATGCCATGTGACAGGCCTTCTGGGGTCTGAAAGAACTTCTCGGGCAATGGTGTGGAGTAGATGACCCCATATTTGTTGGGCTTCATGGATTCCATGTAATTAGATGGGTATGACTATTAGAAAAGAAAAGCAAAACGTGTCAACAGCCAAGTAAGTCCGTTTACTTGAAACATGAATTTAAAAAACATGCTAACAAGGCACTTAACAATTACATGGGCTTTACAAAGCAGTTTAGATTTCGATATATACTTAAAAAAATGCTCAGGAGGTGGTCTCAACAACATTAAAAATGCTATGAGAGGCAGTCTCAAAAACATTAAAACTAAGATCAATGTGGTCACTACTGCACATGAAAAATCTGAAATTTAATCCTAAGATGACTCCTGTGTCAAACGTTAAGGCCAATACCTAGCAAAATTCTAAGACAGGTGACAGCACAGGCTTGGGGGCCATTATCATTAGGAGGCAGAGCTGGGGTTCACCAAGAACCAGCCAAGCCAAACCAACCTGGTTGCTTTTCTGGTGGGGTTTCTTGATGAGCAGGAATTGCTCTCTAGCTTTGGTGTCTAACTTCGGCAGGACAGTTATTTCTCAGGATAAGTAGTGTCTTCAACTTCGGCAGGACATTGATTTCTCATCATAGTTGTGTATGATAAGCAAGAATGGGGCTGCAAGATAGACAGTACCTTTCGTTTGACGGACTTCAGCAGCTGACCAATCCATGCCTAGGACTGGCCAACGATCCTAGTCAGCCTGGAACTGTGCTAGTTTCAGCACTGAAAGTTCCACATCCCATGAAACTCTATAGTCTCAGGCAAACCAGGAGGGGGTCAGTCACCATACACACCTTTGTACTGAAGGCCACCCTCACTGGGGCAATGATGTCCTTGGCCCTAACTTGCTCAGTGTTCTTATTCAGAATCTGAATGAAGCTGTAGACTTGAATGGCAAGTCCGTGGATGACACAGAACTGTAAGAAACACCTAACGTGATATGACTCACATAAGGAAATGCAGTGCTCAAAGTCATTCACACAAGCTGAGGCCCCGTGTTCTCTTCTCTATACCCTGCTACTTGCACATCAAATGAGGCTGGGGCACAAACAGAGTGCAGAAGAGATAAAATAGTCTGTTTCCTTCCCAAGATCTGGTCCACAACTGACCTCATTTATCTTCAAACACCTTTCTCTCTTAAAATATCAGGATAACTTTACCTGCATCTGCCAGCTTTAAATACAAACCAGTCATCATAATTTCACACAATGGGCACTGTCCTTGACCATGGAGTTCACTGAAAGTACTTCTATTCCCTAACTAACATTTTGTTGTAAATTTTCTTTGTAGAATGCAACCTAATTTTTAATTAAAAAAATTTAAACTCAACATACACCATTTTCTTTACTAGGCATTTTAGGGAAACTGAAATTTTGCATGTCAAGCCTGCTTACCTGCAGAAAATTCTTTGTACTTGAATTCTGACAGTGACAGTGATAAACAACATATTGTGCTTCTCTTCCAGCTCTAAAATCCTATGTGTTTATGAGTTAGAGGCAATACTAACTCGGGATGCAACCAAGAAAGCCCAATGGTGCCTCATAACTAAACAGCGTAAATGCACTATTAATTTCTGGGCCTCCTTGACCCCTCTAGGGGCCACTAATGTGAGTTATCACCGTGGGGCAGCAGTGGTTTTGATGCGGATTCCTACTGAGATCTGGTGAATCCCCGGCTGGTTATGCATTGGAATCATCTGTGCTGTTTTTAAAATTCCAGATGCCCAGTCCCTGCTCCAGGCCTGCAGAGCAGCCTGTCACGGAGGAGCCAGTCAGTGAAACGTTTGATCACGTAACTGTGTTTATCTTTATCTGGTTTGGATGTCAGGTCCCCATGGTTAAGATCATGCTTTGCCATCTTCTGTTCTTTCTTTCTTTATCCAGACCGTTATAATCTGTGTAACTTCCTAGAACAGGGATTCCTGCAGTGTGGTGCACATCACTCTCGGTGTACCTAAGATGCTTTTAGGTGGGGTGCACGATGAGCACAGACGAAGCTAAAATTGTTACGTGTTTATTTGTATGTGTCAGAAAAAACTGTTACACATATATTTTGCAGTAGTGGTACCAAGTTTGCTTTTAAAATAAATTTATTATGTGAAAAAGCAATTCTATAAAAGAAGGCAAGAAAAATTACTAACTAAATATTAGGAGTGCAGGTGCTATGAGGATATGGCAAACTTCTTAAGGTTGTTCTGAATCCCCACCTTCCAGGAGGTTGTGAGGTTATGGGATAACCTACACAATGAGCTTATATGCACGCCATACTAGAAACCCCTTCTTGTCCCTGCTTATACAAGAGATGCCCACTGTCATGGGCTCTACTGCTCCCAACCAGCGCTTCTCTAACTTTACTGTGCACATCCATCTACCTGGAGCACTCGTTAAAATGCAAATTTTGAATTACTGGGGAGTGGAGCGAGGGAACTTAGGCTTCCTTTTGAATAGCAATGTTCTAAATGACAGAGATAGAAAATAAAAATACTAAAGGTCTATTTAAAGGAGAGAAAAAGAATTTTCTTTTCTTTTCTTTTTTTTTATTTTTTGAGATAGGGTCTCACTGTTACTCAGGCTGGAGTGCCATGGTACGATCATAGCTCACTGCAGCCTCGACCTCCTGGGCTCAGATGATTCTCTCACCTCAGCCTCCGGAGCAAGTGGAACCACAGGCATGTGACACCATGCCTGGCTAATTTTTGTATTTTTTTGTAGAGACTGGGTTTTGTCATGTTGTCCAGGCTGGTCTCGAACTGCTGGGTTCAAGTGATCTGCCCGCCTCAACCTCCCAAAGTTCTAGGATTACAGACATGAGCCACCATGCCCAGCCAGTTTTCACTACTAATACTGCTTAAAAACAAGAATATGAAGGATGTAAAATCAGAAAACACAATATGCATAAAAACAGCTTTGAGTTATAGATCAAGGATCAAAAGAAAAGATTCTCTACCTTTCTTTAAAGGCAGGCATGCACAGTACCAACACAAGAGGTCCAAAGCATAGCAACAGTAAGTATTAAATATATTTAAATGTAAATATTAAGATGGGTATTATTAAAAGAGGCACAAGGTTCATTAACAACAACAACAACAACAAAAACCATTATAAATCATGTATACTGGAGAGTTTCAGGGAGTAATTAAATATAGAAAGGAGAATGATTTCTCCTAGTCCTAAAGTCTAATGTGCTTTATATAATTCTCCAAAGGGCAATGGTTCTGGTACTACGAAAAAAACTTTAGGAAATGGGAGGCAGCATTGTTTCTATTGACCAAAATGTAGCTTCTCTCTTATTTTCAGCTCTATTCTTCCAAGACCTCCCTATGACCTAGATTTTAATGCCAATAGTTATTGGCAGCTAAATGGGAAGCAAAATGAGGACATACTTTTATTGCTGTCATTGCTGGATTTTTCTACGCATGGGGTGAGGTTTGGGAGAGTAGGAATTTAGAACCTCCAGATTTGCAAATTTAATAACATTCTCAGGTTTCTCAAGCTATTAAGACAGAAAAAGCCACACATAAAGCTAAGTTTTATCAACATTATGCAGTTTGCTGATAAGTCTGTTCTCAAATGAATGCCCTCATTCCCTCTATTGGATGTGCGATTACTGTAAGGTACAAGACTAACTGTGGGGAGACACATTTGGTCACAGATACTCAGCTCTGGGCAGATAATTAACTGTTTCCAGCCCAACTGCCTCACAAAAGGGTGAAGACATGTGGCCTCTCAAACTGGTTCACTTCATTTGGGTGGAGCGCACAAGCTTTTGCAATCAGCTTCCAACAATCTGGTGCCGTGTAGGGACTGACACGGCTGGGTGTGTGCCCTGGGCAGGTACAACCCGGTAACAGCCTTCCCCTCTGTTCCAGACAGTTCCTATGTTCTATCAAAGCAATGCATACAAGTGCGGCTGCACTGGCCCCAAATCCAAATCAGAGACAAGCGTTGATGAAGCAGAAAATGTGCCTCTGGCCACGGATGGACCTCCAGTGCCCTCTGTGCCCTCTGTGCATGCTGCTTAGTCCAAGAGACCCTGTGTCCTGGAACAGAGCAGTCCAAAGACTAGACACAGACATGGGCTTCTGGACTCCACTAGGGATCATAAGGGCTTAAAACAATGGGCTGGGGCAGGCATGGCGGCTCACACTTGTAACTCCAGCACCTGGAGAGGCTGAGGCAGGAGGATCGCTTAAGGCTGGGAGTCTGAGACCAGCCTGGGCAACATGGTGAGACCCCCTCTCTACAGAAAAAACAAAAATGTAGCCGGGCATGGTGGTGCTTGCTTATAGTTCCAGCTACTCGGGGGGCTGAGGCAGGAGGATTGCTTGAACTCAGGCGTTTGAGGTTGCAGTGATCTCGCTACTGCATTCCAGCCTGGGCAACAGAGCAATACCTTGTCTCAAAACCAAAACAAAACCAAAAAAACACAAAACCAAAACCAAAACAAACCCCCCCCCCAACAAAACCACTGATCTGCCATAAGAAAAATTTCTTTCCGTCTGTAACATGCACTCAGATGTTCACACCCCTGCACAGTGTGCATTTACTTACTGACTGCTGCTTCTCACTGTACTGTGAGGTGATGAGGGCCTGGCATAGGCGCTCAGTTAATACTTGATGAATGTGTAGTAAGTTAACACACTCTCTTAGCAAGTTTTTACTACTGATACGGTGAAGAATAATATGCCAATTATTTTGAACTTTAAAAAAATGATTTTAATTGTGACAGGGAAAGAGGTACAACGTTTGGATAATTTCCCAAAGTTCTAACTACCACTTTATGCTAAGGTGATAATTGCAATAGTTTATTTTATTAGGAATAGTTTTGGTGAGTTTTCCATTATAAGACAGTTTCAGTGGATGAAATGACTAAAACATGGATGAAATCTCTATTTCACTATTCATCAACATGAAAAAAAGTGAATGTCCGTGACAGAGCAAGTCAAAAGAATCTTCATCCAAGAGAGGGTTCCAGGCACAGGAAGGCGTGATGCATGTATAAACACACACTCTGGGAACAGCAAATGTCACGCAGCCCCATGAAAACAGAGGTAGAACGCTCTCTTTCTACCAGGCTTGAAAACGCCATGAAATGTTTCTGTTAGAACAGAGCAGAGGAAATTACTGATTTGACATACTTTCCTATCTATACTTTTGGTCTGTTAGATGACCAAAGATGACAGAATATTATTAATCCTTTCTTCAAAAGCAATCTTTCCACAGGAATAGAAGAATACTTTAAACTTTGTTTTTTGATTTGTTTTGTTTTTTACAATTTGTTTCCTTGCTCACTTCCTGAATTAAATCCTTTAATTATCAATCTTTTGGGAAATGGTAAAAAAAAAAATTTATGTACATGTGCATCTTTTTTACAGAGTTTCATATTTTATAATTTTTTTTTTAAAAAACAGAAACTCGGGGAGCTGCTGGTGATTTTGCCAAGATCAGAAGGACAGTAAATAGCAGAGACTGAAGGCACAGACGTGGGGAGGCAGAGTCTACTCTGTTCCTCATTCTTGCAAATTTTAACAGGGTGACCCCAAGCCTCAAAGCACAAGGCTAGTGGAGAACAGTATGAGGGCTTACATGTGGTTAAGAGGGAAATGACATGTCCTCACTTTCTCTAACCTATAGCAAAAGCGCAAACAAGCGATTGTTTCTGCTGTGCTATCCTTTTAGGGGGTGGGAAAAGGGTTGGAGAAATAAGTTACTATAAAATATTTTTATTCATCTGTAGAAATTAAAAATATTTTCACAAATGTCCTATCGTGCCTTAATGTTTACAACATTGACGTGAATAGCCAAAGACTTTGACCTTCAGGTCAAAGACTGAATTAAAAAGAAAAAGGAATAATAAATTAGGTTCAATATACTTCACATATGAAGGCAGGAAAGATGAAATTTGAAGATTTAAGAGTGGAAACAAAAGCTTTTTAATTTTTTTAAGTAAAATCATTTTAACACCCCACTCCTCAAATGTTTCTGTTAACTTAGGTTGCACTGAATTAAGAAAAAAATACTTCCTGCTGAATAAAGTTAAAACCAAAACAAGAAAAAAAAACAATCTTCATTTTGAAGGACTGACAGTAACTTGGTGAAACTAAATTCTAAAAGTGTCAGTTGCAGTTGAAATCTAGCACATGAAGGAGAAAAAGACCATTAACTGCAAAATCACTCCTCCATATTTTAACTTCGTGTATTAATACGTTACAACAATGCAAGTTTAATAGTTACTTCAAATTCATTTTATTCCACTTTTTTTTTTCGGTTAAGTGCATTTCCTTGCACGTAATTACATATATCACACCAATTTAGCAATGTGGATCTTCATTTTAGCTTTATATTAGACTCTTGAGCCTTATTTTCATGCTTGATTAAAAGTACTGGAAGTACACTGAACACTGAAATGCCTCACTGATGGCTCTGCACCATTTGTAAAATGAATCATATTCTCCAGTGCTACAAACCTATTCGTATTTCAAGAATATAATTAATGGGGAAATTTTGTACCTTCATTTTCCTCTAACGTGATCATGTAGTGATGCCGGGGATGGGGATGTGATGAATACAACGACAGCACCGAATAACATTCAAAGTAATTTAGTTGTTTGGCCAGGAGCGGTGGCTCATGCCTGTAATCCCAGCACTTTGGGAGGCTGAGGTGGGTGGATCATCTGAGGTCAGGAGTTCAAAGACCAGCCTGGCCAACATGGCGAAACCCAGTCTCTACTGAAAATACAAAAATTAGCCGGGCATGGTGGTAGGCGCCTGTAATCCCAGCTACTATGGGGGCTGAGGCAGAAGAATAACTTGAACCCAGGAGGCGGAGGTTGCAGTGAGCTGAGATCACACCACTGTACTCCTGCCTAGGCGACAGAGTGAGACTCCATCTCAAAAAAAAAAAAAGTAATTTAGTTTTTTGATTAATAAAATCCTTATTGCTCAGTTGCTACCATATTCAGACACTTGGTTATTCAGTTATCACGCTGGAATGCAAATGTTATTTCCTTAAAGCCCTTCTGCCTTAACTTGCATTATAGATACTGGTAAACACTTTACTGGCTTAGTAATATCCATGGCAACTCAGCTCCAAGGGCCTCGGCGTGACCCCCATGTCTTGTATAAACATTTTTGGCAGGAACCTCCAGAGCCCATGCATAAGGATGATCTAATTTTGCAAGCGTGTCATTACCAACCTTCAGATACACAACCCGGGCCAAGTTTTCCCCCTTGTGAATATTTTCCAAGCCCGTGGAAGAAAAGAGCAAGACAGAGTGGGAGCGCTGCCTTGTTATTCAATATTCACTCAACCAGATCCCTCAAGCTGAAACCACTCCCTGCTCTGAAGTCAGACACCTTCCTCCGTCACTATGTCTCACCTCCATGGCACTGGTGGTGTCCCCGCAGAAACCCTAGACTCCTCGCTAGTCCCTGGTGGCCTAAGAGCAGCCAGTGGCCTGGCTCCCATGAGGGGCTGGCTTAGGGCTAAGGTGCTGAAAAGGACAATGCACGTAATTCCCACCCAGCCAGACTCTTCCAAGTAAACGAGATTCCATCCTCACTGCCAAGTTCTTTCTCTCGCTGGCTTCCCTCAGTCATCTCTCATATAGTCATAGCTCCATATGGCTGTTGTCATTGGTTTTTAAGCAAATCATCCTATTCTTAATATATTTTTACACACGAAAGGGCTGAGGAATTTTTGTAAAATTACTTCTGTCATGAGAGGATTCGCCGATGGCCTAAGTTCTACGCTGATCATATCCTAGGGCAATGCTGGGCACAGGTCTTAAGGAAGCGCAGATCCCATTTACTAAAGGACCCACAGCTGCTAGGACAGTATTTAGCTCACTCATACCTGGGGGCGTTGAGAAAAGTTTGCCTATGAAATGCCTGTCGAGTAATGAGTGATTTTTTCTTTTTTTTTTTTTTGAGACGGACTTTCGCTCTTGTTACCCAGTCTGGAGTGCAATGGCGCGATCTCTGCTATCTCGGCTCGCCGCAACCTCTGCCTCCCGGGTTCAAGTAACTCTCCTGACTCAGCCTCCCGAGTAGCTGGGATTACAGGCATGTGCCACCACACCTAGCTAATTTATTTTTATCTTTATTTTCAGTAGAGATGGGGTTTCTTCATGTTGGTCAGGCTGGTCTCAAACTCCCAACCTCAGGTGATCCGCCCGCCTCGGTCTCCCAAAGTCCTGGGATTACAGGCGTGAGCCACCATACCCGGCCATGATTTTAAGGAATAATTTGACACACAATGATGTTATCATCCCTTGGAAAAAATAAGGCGAGGTGTTCAATTTTGGAAAACTTACCACTGAGACAGGGTCCATGGCCTCTTGCTTGACAGGAACTGGGTCAAACATGAGCATTCTTTTAGTTAAACCTTCTAGGGTGCTCTGGTGTTCGGCCTAGGAAACAAAACAAGGTATCCATCTAAATCTCAAGGTTACTTTAAATACAAACTAGTAAAAATAAAATATAGCCTGGGCAAGGTGGCTCACCTTTGTCATCTCAGCACTTTGGGAGGCTGAGGCAGACGGTTCGCCTGAGGTCGGGAGTTTGAGACCAGCCTGGCCAACATGGTGAAACCCCGTTTCCACTAAAAATGCAAAAATTAGCTGGGTGTGGTGGCGCACGCCTGTAATCCCAGCTACTCGGAAGGCTGAGGCAGGAGAATCGCTTGAACCCAGAAGGCGGAGGTTGCAGTGAGCCGAAATGGCACCACTGCACTCCAGCCTGGGTGACAGAGCGAGACTCTGTCTCAAAAGAAACATAAATAGATAAATAAATAATAAAATAAAATAGAATACTCCTCACCCCACTTCTCTATCCCTTTTTCTCCCTTACCCCTGGAATGGCTGGAATTTGTTTCCCTTACCTATGAAAGATGCCATTTACATAATTAAAACCAGACTCCATGGTCATAACCAGATGAGAGCCAACCAACATTTCTAACTCAATACATAAACCCGGACTTTTCTGGAACATTAGGTACAGCCCCGTCTAAGCAGCAAAGCTTGCCTGGGATTGCCGTGCAACTCTTTAGAGGTTCAGATTACATACGATTGTTAAACACCTTCTGTTTTCCCCTGATGCTAGTCACAGAAAAATTAGGGGAAAAAAAGGCAAGCAAAAAGAAAACCTAGAGTCAACCATCATTAAAATTTCATTTTTATTCTAACAAACCCTCTTTAAAACTGGGCTCACAGTGTACATGCTATTTAGTACCTATCATTTCACTGAACAATTAATTGTGAAAATGTTTGTTTTTTCAGTAAGTATGGTTCTGCACCATCAAATCCTCCGTGCCACTGTGTGAACACATCAGTTTACTTAACGCATTCCTCTTGACTGGGCACTTAGGGTTGCTTCTACATTTTCGCCATTACAAACAGCAATGAGCCTCTTTAAATATATCCTCCTGCACACCGTTAATTTTTAGGATAAGTTTTCTGTAGGGGAATTCCTGGGTGAGAAGTACGTACATTTCCCAAAGCGCCTGATGCATCATCTGGCAAAAACGAACTATTATTTTCATTAATAAAATACAACCTGTTGCTGGGCGTAGTGGCTCACGCCTGTAATCCCAGCACTTTGGGAGGCTGAGGTGGGTGGATCACGAGGTCAGGAGTTCATGACCAGCCTGGCCAACATGGTGAAACCCTGTCTCTACTAAAAATACAAAAATTAGCTGGGTGTGGTGGCGGATGCCTGCAATCCCAGCTACTCAGGAGGCTGAGGCAGAGAACTGCTTGAACCCGGGAGGCGAAGGTTGCAGTGAGTGGAGATCCCGCCACTGCACTCCAGCCTGGGCAACAGAGTGAGACTCCGTCTCAAAAAAAATAAATTAAAAAAAAAAAAATAAATAAAATACAACCTGTTTCCCCAAATCTCCACCAGCAACATGTGTTATCACTTGTGTTGTAAAACATACACACCTTGCCAACTTGTTAAGTCTCAAAATGGCAAATGATTTTTATTCTAAATTGATTTGGTTATTGAAGTTAATTTTTTTCAGCTTTACTGACCATTTGGATTTCTTCTTTTGAGAAATGCCTACTCAGGTCTTGACACCCCCCGACCACTTCTTATTGTTTTCTAAGCACTTTTCACATATGAAGAATATTAGCTTGTTTTCACACAGATTTCTCCTCATTAGGAAATGAGCCTATTGTAAAGATCTTGATCCTGTCCTGTCCTTTTCTTCTGTTGTTCTCTGCTTGACATCCCTTCTGTTTTCTTCTGTTCTGTATAGTCCACTTCTAACACTAATCTACATCAAGCCAACTGCTTCTTCACAAGACGAAATATTCAGTCTGCTCAATGTTCAAATGTGTCTCCTCAGTTACAGAAACACTGTCCTGCTACTAGACACACTTTCAGAAACTGACTTCAGGCACTCACTAGGCAAATTTGGTTTAAGTGCTCAGTGCTTTGGTTAGAGTTAAGGTCTTTATAGATCACCCCGGTTTGAGTGGCAAATTGAACAAGTTCTAGAGTGAGGAAGCTGCAGGAATCCCGGGTTCTGGATTACTTCTTGTATTTCAGTGTTAAAAACTCCCATCCCCACCTCCATGATAGCAATCCTATAATTTGTTGTATTGGTGCTCTATGGGTTATACTAAGATATCTTCACATACAATTATGGAAGTGATACTACGTAGTTTTTGTGCTTCGTTGATTCATTGAAGAAAGCCTGTTTTCAATCTCATGACAATCTCATGACAACACATGAATTTCATCAATAACTTGACATAAGGCCCTGACTTCAAAATTATATTTTCCTGCATCACAGGATGTATTGTAATCTGCAAATACAATTTGATACCAAGCTGCTGAAATCAATGGTGCTACTACCCTCTTATGTATTCCAGCAAGAACAAACCGCAACAGCCAGTGAAAAATAGATGATTTCATAATGAGGGATGAAAACGCTTTTGTGTCTTAGGATCTATTATTAACCAGTTCCCAGCCTAGCAGCTGTACGGATGAACATGGTTCTAAGAATTGTTGTCCAATGCCTCACAGTGGACCATAAACAAAAGATGTGAGATCTCCTGCTTACATCAATGAGGTCAGATCATTTAGCAGCCCTGACTCACGGCTGGTCACCCTGTGGCAGCCTCCCACCTCCCCACCCCCAGCTTTTTACACTGAATTCACTCTTCCAGACTCATCTATCCCTCTAGACAGTATCTTGATGCAAATGCTTCTAAATTAAAGCATTCACATTCTCAGGTGTATAAGGAAGGAGCCATGGTTTTGAGACTCAAGCAGACTGCAAACTAGCACAGCCATGGGGCAAGAGTGATCATTTGTAAAATGCAGAGCATGCCTCCCTTATCTACTTCTCAAGGATTTAGGTCTATCAAATGAGATTAAAACACAGACACACACACACACCCCTTTGCCCTAATTTATATCCATATGCACATAAAATTTGGATATATATTCTGTACACACGACACTAAATGTGTTGGTTCCAACTTCAGGAGCAAAAATGTCTGGTATTTGCCTCTTTGCTAACTTACCCTAGCCTTAGAGGTCCATCTCCCACCCTTAAATAAAACTCAGACTAGATTCGGTTTCAAAGTTAACAGCTGCCTACATCCTGTATGAGGTCTCATATGAGGCTTGTCACTTCACAACTGGACCACTGCAACAACAGCTTGTAAGCGAGGCCAGCATCTCCACACTTCATGTTACCCTGCACTCTTTACTACCACTAATTGCAGCACAGCAGAATAAATTAAGAGGATGGGCTCTGGAGTTCCTTTTCGTTCAAATTCTAAGTCTACCATTTAGCTCACATAGCTTTCAATGACTTTGTCTAATGGCCACAGCAACGACTACTGAATCCTTTTAGAAATGAATTACACATTAACGTGCTACATCTTTTTTATCATTAAGGCATTACTTAAATCACTATTGTTCTTTAATTTTTTGTTTTACCTAAGTTTAAGGAAACGCAAGACTTGTAATCCTAAGAGAAACACAGTCTAGTATAAACCACTGGCACTGGCCAAGCGCAGTAGCTCACGCCTGTAATTTCAGCACTTTGGGAGGCCGAGGCGGGCAAATCACCGGAGGATAGGAGTTCCAGACTAGCCTCTCCAACATGGTGAAACCCCGTTTCTACTAAACATATAAAAAATTATCCGGGTGTGGTGGCACACACCTGCAATCCCAGCTACTCAGGAGGCTGAGGCAGGAGAATCGCTTGAACCAGGGAGGCAGAGGTTGCAGTGAGTCGAAATAGCGCCATTGCACTTCAGCCTGGGCAACAAGAGCGAAACTCTGGTCTCAAAAAAAACAACAAAAACAAAACAAAACACAAAAACACTGGCACTAACACAACCTGATTTACTTTTATTAAAAAATAATTACAAAGGTATGTTTATTTGCTCAGAAATGTACCTCAAAGTAATCCAAATGTTGATGAAGGGATATTCTTATTACACAAGTATTTAAGTTAATAAACAAAGAAGGAATGATAGGATTAGAATACCTAATTTTGAAACTCCTAACTAAATAATGAACGTTAAAAAAAAGGTCTGTGCAAAATTCAAATATCACAATGAATAGAATCAAACTCACTATTTCACACGTCTACAAGCACTTTGTTTCCAATTTGGTAGCTTCTAAAATAGCTTTTAAATGACGATGCTTTTAGTAATAGTCACAGAATATAAAACAAGAAGATAAAGGATATGCAAAGAAAACGCTTGGAACCACATACCCGAAACTGTTAACAGGAGCTTCTTGAGAGTGGTGGTGGGTGGGACAGCTTTCTACACATCTGTGTTCTATTTTTAAAGTTCATTATTTATATATATCTTTATTTTGAGATGGAGTCCCACCCTGTTGCCCAGGCTGGAGTGCGGTGAAATGATCTCGCCTTACTGCAACATCTGCCTCCTGGGTTCAAGCAATTCTCCTGCCTCAGCCTCCCAAGTAGTGGGGATTACAGGTGCACACCACCACTCCTGGCTAAGTTTTATACTTTTAGTAGAGATGGGGTTTCACCATGTTGGCTAGGCTGGTCTCGAACTCCTGGCCTCAAGTGATCTTCCCGCCTCAGCCTCCCAAAGTGCGGGGATTACAGGTGTAAGTTTATTATTTCTATAATCAAAACTTTTAACAAAGACAAGATAGGGAAGCCAAGCTAGGAAGAAACCAAATTTAGAAAGAGAATCAAACACATGAACAGAAATCAGGCTTCTGTTTATGTATCTGCAAAAAATTTCTACACTTTGCACCCATTATCTCTGACTAGAGGGACCACTTTTGTCATTGGTACTGATTTGTTTACAGGTTCTGATCTAGAATCCTAAGAGTGACTGTAAAGTCTTCAAAGTGCCTTCCACATAACTGAGAAGTAACTTAAGCCCTGGAAGAAATAGGGTCCCTACTTGGCAGTCTTTGGTACCCACGGGCGGCTCAGTGCACTGGGGTTACTGTCATTCTGAAAGAATGCTAAGTAAACCACAAATGCTTAGAAAATCTATCATACAGTACTGATGGCAATCTTAAGCAGAACCAGTAGGTGGCGCACTAAAACAGGCATTAGAGACCAGGACACGGGCAGTCAATCAATCCAGTTGGCCAACCTCGGGGTCTTTAAACCTAGTGGGTTTTAACCAGGCTCAGGAATTCTATTAATCATTTTATGTGGGTATCACTGAGAAGAGGAGGCTCTAAATGTGGTTCTATTTTTTTCTGACGACTATTTTCCAATCATAAACATATTTACATCTTCATTATATTTTAACTAGCTTAGCTAGCCTTAGAAATACATTAGCTAGTCTTAGCCTTAGAAATACATTCTAATGCTAAACTAAGCAATACCAGGATAACAAAACTGCATCTAAAAGGAGGAAAAAAAAGGGCAAAACTGTTTTTATGAAAAATTCTAAGTTATTGAGGTGCTTAAAAGCAAAAATTTACCGGAACATCACCACTGCCAAAATAATTTTCCATAACTGGGGCAAATGCCATCTTCCCCAGCTGTGCTATTTTGCGGAGAAAGGCCAATAAAAATGAATGGTCCTCAAAAAGGAGAAACGGATTTCCCTTCACACTCTTTCCACCTACACTTCTGACTTTTCAGATGTTAAAATAAGGGTCAAATTTCTGTCAAAATGCAGGACTGCGTGATTACAGATTAAAAAGCTTGGTGAATCATTGACATGAAGTTTCAGAAGTAACGCAGTCTTGCTTTGGAGCCCTATCCAGCAGTATCCGAGGCCTAGGCACAATGGCTTTATGGGGTGGGGGGTAGGGCTGCAGGTGAGCTGCAGGGCTTAGAAACACACACACACAGTCCTTCATGGAAGTTGAGGTTAGGGGGTTACTAAACCTCCTCTGAAAGCAGCTTGCCTGGAGGCTAGAGCATGATTTATTACAGAAACGACCTTACAGACGACTGCCTGCCCTTCCTGAGGGAGGAGGAAGGTGGAGAGGGAACGTGTATGTATCAGGAGCAGTTTCTTCCCTGTTTCTTGGGGTTAGAGCAAGACCTGCCTCTGATGTTCTTCCTTCTCATCTCCCTATTTCTTCCCTTTTCCGTGCCCTCATTTCTTCCCACAGATCCTCAAAGGGTCCCTGCATTATCTTCCCCAACTCAGGACTGACCCTGAGGCTCCCAATCACCTGCCTTCCTCCAAGCACAACTCCCGTCTCCCAGCTAACCTCGGAAGGAGCAACACATCAACACACCATTGCTAAGCGTCCCTTTCAACTCTTCTAAGTTTTTGGATTTTTAAAAGAGAAAACATGTTATCTTCCCCCACCCTTACTCCCCAAAGGAACTTCAGGGGAAAAAAGAGAGAGAGAGAAAAAAAAAAGGCTGTGTGTGCATGTGTGTGTAATTCTTGGCTAGGAAAACTGGGCAGGCAAGCAACATCCCTGTAGCTAAACTTCCTTTCCAGAGAAACTTCTCTCTCTTCGTTTCTTTACCCAAATTCTTCAAAATCCCCTAATGGCTCAAGTATTATTTAAGCACAGTTGCCCTGGCCAGAAATACTGGGGACAGGCAACAGATGTCAGCAGGCATTAAGCTGGAGGCTCCCTTAAGAAAAGCTAAGCACTGGCACCTACCTGGAAATTCCTGCCTGGAAATTCCTACCCGGACATTCTTGGAAATGTTCATGCCACTCCGCGATTTTCACCTGTCTTACTCTTCTATGGCTGGTTTGAAAAGGAGAAAAAGTCCACGGGTTGTTTCTAAATCTTTGCCCCTCATGAATTATTTTGCATTAATGTGTATTGTAAACGGCAAAGAAGTTAATTATTTCGTTTCAGATGAAATACAATGATCCAGTGAGCAAACAACCCACCCTCTCTCGTCTCTCTGCTAACAAGCCACCCAATTTTACTTTCCTGCCTCCACCCATCTGCTCCACCCTATGGAGAGTTGCCAAGGCAAGTCCAACTTGTCCAAACAGGACATGGCTTCAGATAAGATTCTGCCCACACCCTGTACTGCGGAAAGACCAAGTGAAGCAATTGATTTTGCATGTCAATAAGGACAGGTGCAAAGGTAACAACCAAGCAAAAGCCTGACCAAGTTTCCAAACTGAGGCCCAGCAAAGCAGGGCTGGGGGTGGGGACACCCACACCCATGCTACCCTCGGGAGTTCAAGGCCATCTGGCTAGTGGCATTCCACACCCTTCTTAGAGAAACTGCAGCAAATTCGAATAATTTTCCTACTAGGGTTACATGCCTGTTTATGCTCTCTGACAATTTTGTGTTTTAGTTTTAAGGGCAAGCAACCCAAGATAAATTGAAAAATACCCGTAATGTCTAATCCTGCTGTGTACATATCTCACAAGGCCTCGCCTAAGCCCTCACAGTTCTCTTCTGTGAAGTGTTATATAATCAAATCCAGAAGGGCTGCGTGAGGCCACGCTGCCTCTCATCTGCCTCTGCTCAGTGCCCTCCCTATCACTGGAGACCCACCCAACTCCACCCTAAGGAGCCTCCACCCATGGGGCCCCACCCTGCAGGGAGTGGGAGGCTGGGAGGGAGCAGTTGGCTCTGGGCAGCAGCCAGTTCCTGGAAATTCCGGCCTGAACAGGGATGGTTAGAACCTTAAAAATAACCAGAAGGAACTGTGGGGCTGTGATCATTCCCTCCGCTCCTGAGGATTCTCCACTGAAGTTCCTCCCGGGGAGCCACTGAAACTTTGAATACAAAACCATGAGTGAAGCCTGCCCTCTCCCTTTAAAAATAAGCAGAAAAGAAAAGCATTTTGAACCACTGCTATCAACGTGGCCCAAACCAACCCTACTCCTCCTTGTTCCTGCCTCTAAGGCTGCCCCCTCCCCGCCTCCCATTGGCCTTATTTTCTGGTCCTTCACCATGGAAACCTAGAGGCCATCTCTGAAGCCTTCCTCACCTCCTTTGCTCTCCCCTCCTGCCTTGGGGGCCAGGCCCTCAGCACCTCCCACCTGCGTTGCTGCAGCTTTTCCGCCACTGGTCTCCCTCAGCCTCTCCAGTCCAGCCCTCGCCCCTTGCCACTCGCCTTTTTCACAGATCTCGTCTCATCCCGTCCTTCCCCAGCTCACAAACTTCCCTCCCGCGCTCTCCCCGGGACTGACAGTGGGCTCAGGCACCCATGCTTGGCACCCCGTTCCCCACCAGCTGCCCCCTGCTCCAACAAGTGCCCTTCATGCCGGCTGCCCTGCCCACCCCCAGGCCTTTGTTCAGTTTTGGCCCCGATGCTGGGCAACCAGCGTGGAATGCCCCCTCCCCTTCCGGCTTATCTAAATCCTCCTAATTCTTCAAAGACCAGCTCAAGGCCCTCCCCACTCTGCAGCCAGCTGATTGCTCCCTGGGGGATCCAAGGCCTCCTCCTCCTCCTCCTCTTCTTACCTAGATAGGCTAGGCCTTTTAGCTTTCCCAGTGGTGCGTCCCACAACGCTGCCAGCAGTACTGGGAAGGGCAGACAGGCAGGCCTCAGCCTTCCTGAGAGGGCTCCCTCCCCACTCCCCACAGGAGACTGGGCTTGTTCCCTGAATGAAGTTTTTATGTCAAGCCTAAGGAGCTAACATAAGAGCACTTAGCTCATAGTAGGAGTTCCACAATCATCTCCCTTTCCCTCTGAATGCACTTGAAACCTCCCTTAAACAAGTAATAGGGGTGAAGGGCCCAACTCTAAGGGAGACCTAGTAAACCAAACTTCCTAAGAAAAAGTTATTGCCCCTAACCTTAGCCTGGCCCATCATGTGTACTCCAGAGACCTTACCAGTACCATCTTCAGAGAATTCATTATCCACTCCGTGAGGTCTTCTAAACAAGTCTAGTGTCGAGGTCTCTACTGTATTTTAAAATATTTTAAAATAGAAAAAAGAAAGCGAGAAAGGGAGGAGAGGAGGCAGGTGGGAGGGAACTGCAGGGGGAAGGAGTGTGTGCAAACATAGGTTTTTGAAAAGGGATCAAGGAAGGCAAGGGGCTAAGTGATGTCACAGGTTTCCTGCCAATCACCACCACCTTCATGCTTGGTAATCACCAGGTGCTGTTTAATGTCAATGAGGTGGTTACTATCTTCCCATTTTACTGAAAAGAACACTGAAACAGAGAGGTCAAGTAACCTGCCTAACATCACACAGCTGCCAACTTGTAGAGCCAGGACTTGAACCCAAGGTAGTCTGACTTAAGACTGGTGGCCTTGGCACACCACTCTTCCACCTCTCCAGGCAGAGGACAACATTACACCACTAACAGTAAGTACGGGATAGTGATTTCTGTGAACAGGTTGGTCCCCAGAGAAGATAGAACGTGGGGACGGTCTTTTCACATTAGTGAGTTTCCACCCCTTCCAACTGGCTCCTGCTGCCCACCCTGTCTCAGTATGCACACTTGGATGCAAGATCAAAAGACACATTCTGAAGGCCCCAAATTAGGCGATTATTCTTCCTGGCCAGTGCACCTGCATTGTCGATATAACTGCTGAGAAAAATTGGCAGCTTGACCCAAGTAAATACGGAAATCCTCATAATAACTGTACAAAGGTGGAAGGGTCAGGTCCTCATCCCATTTTAGAAATGAGGAAATGGAGGAACAGAGGTGAAATGACTCGCCCAATTTCACAGAGCTGGTTGGAGCTGCAGCCAGGAACAGAAGTGTGTCTGCCTGCAGACCCGGGCACTTTCTGTTCTGCTTCAGAGCCTGTGCTGTGGGACTGGCTTTTAGGTAAAATCGCCTAATGCTGGGGTCACTCCCCAGTAGGGAGGGTGTGGGTGTGCACAGTCACACTGGCCCATGGGAAGCAGTGCCAGGGGGAGGTTCCAGCAGGCAATTAAGATTTCAAAATGCCTTTTCAGGTTAGATCACTGCAGATCTACTCCATCCTATGGCATAACTCAGAGTAATGATTGCACAGAATTTGAGATTAGCTCTAATAAGTAGGTACTCAATAAATACTTGTGAGATGAATAAATGAATGGATGTCAAACTACACTTCTCACATGCTAGGATAAACTAAGGGCAACGGCCCTGGAATGATGGTACACCAGGTGTCCTACATGGAAACTCTGTCCAGCGGCTGGTGAAGCCAGCCTGAAACTTCATCTTCTAAAATGCAAAGTAAACGTGAAAACTTTGGGAGCCTGGGAGAGAAAAACTCCCTGGTTTGCAAACTCAGTGGAACAAGAACTTGATCTTACAAATGAAAGAGGCTTTGGAGTGTGAAGCTTTGGAAGGTACCAGGGGTGCAAAGTACAGGAACAGATAAAGAAGTAGATTTCAGTGATTACACTTCAACGACAGTGGTAGCAGAAAGAACAGCATATAGGCCAAAGGAGAAAAAAGCCCACACTTGATTCGCAGGGCGCTCTCCAGAGTAGAATCCACTGACCTCAATATCCATTTGATCTCTTATGTCCAGATTTGGCCAAACTCCACTGATTTGGGTTGAGACTAGCTCTGGGCCATCCCTGGCAGGATCCACAAGCCTTCCAGAGACTGGCAACCATCTTGAGGATGTCCCAGACTAAGCAGGGCAATTCTGGGTCCTCCTGCAAAGGGCCTGCCTCAGGGAGCGCCCCCTTACAGGAAGCAGGGTAAGAGCCAGAACCAGGGGTTACATGAAATGCATGGGCTAGAGGGCCACTTAACTCGCTCTCTTCTGTCTCCAGCCCTTCTAAATAATTAGATGGAGAAATTATAATGAATTCAGCCTGCTGACACAATAGAGTGACTTTCAAAACCTCCAGAAATCTGTTTTGCTAAAGAAAGAACTTTACTACAACCCCTCTGACCAACGGATACAAAATGCACAGATCATTTTTTTTTTCTCTTACTGTTCCATTGAATATGGTCACATTACAGAATTAGGACAGGGCCAGTTAAGAGGACACCTTTTCTTTTTTTTTTTTTTTTTGAGAGAGTCTCGCTCTTGTTGCTCAGGCTGTAGTGCAGAGGCACAATCTCGGCTCACTGCAACTTCCGCCTCCTGGGTTCAAGTGATTCTCCTGCCTCAGCCAGCCTCCTGAGCAGCTGGGATTACAGGCGGCCGCCACCACACCCGGCTAATTTTTGTACTTTTAGTAAAGATGGGGTTTCGCTATGTTGGCCAGGCTGGTCTCAAACTCCTGACCTCAGGTGATCCGCCTGCCTCGGCCTCCCAAAGTGCTGAGATTATAGGCATGAGCCACTGCGCCGGGCCGAGGACACTGTTTTTTTGCTTTGGAAGAAATGAATCCCAGTTCCGGTTCAGAAACTGTCAACAGCATTGTGCCTCTTCTACGACTACTAAATTTCAAGGAAGGAGAACTGAGTTGGGGGGAAAAGCAGGGCCATCCCCGCCTTCAGACAATGCTGTCCCTTATCAGGGCAGACTGCTGTCTGGTTTCCTGTCTCCAGCTTGGGCATGACTGCTTAAGATGAGAAACATGGTCTAAGAAAGGAACAGAGTGGTCTTGACAATGAGAATGCTGGCGACCATCATAACCCTCTTCCAACTCACTCCCAAGAGGAATTCTGACTAGAGTATCACATACTAGCAAACCAGATATCAACTGTTTTAAGGTTCTAGGGATTCGTTTTTTTAAAAAGCTAGAACCAATGATAAATGAAGCATTTCAGAAAGAATCCAAGTTCCAGAATCATGTAATTCCTAGTAACTTAAAGAATGAAGTTGCGTCTATTTATTTTTCTTAAACACAACTGGGTGTGAAAGCAGAGAACAAGAAATACTGCCTAAGAAATCTGTCATTTTATAGCAAAAAATGTTGATTTGAAAATATTAAGAAGGCAAGTATCTCAAGGGGGGATGGAGACACAATGAAACTAAATTAGGAATCATGATTGATATGGTTAATAAATAAAACTCTTATTCCCATTTTTTTGGTAATTATAGCAACTATAAGATAGTATAATTTTCCCCAACTATTCAGCTTAGCATTTAGAAGCTTGCAGAATTTTTTTCTGATAGAATATATTAGACCCTAATTATCTCTATTAACCACTTCATCTCCCTGCAAAACGGAGAGGAAAGAATTTGGGGAAAGCCAAATACTCTTTACCAAACCTAGTTAGATTGTTAACAACTTTGGAACCAAAACAAACAAACAAAAACTTGCTTCAATTTGAGTTACTTATAAATTTTAAGCTTAAAAGCCTCTTGTCCTACAGGTCAGCTTAGTATTTCCAGTTGCTTTTCCCAAAGGAGAAAGAACTTATTGGGACTTCCAAAACTCCCACCTTTTTTCATAGAAGTATCAGTAGCCAACTATTTGATACTAACAACTCTCTTAATATCCTATTTTATACTTTCCATTTATACATAAAGAATGTGGTGAAATGTGACATTGAAAACTAAAGCACCATTATCATCCATTTGGGGGAGCAGAGGGCCTGATTTGCTGCTTCAGCAACTCTTGAAATTAATTCCACGGAGATGCTGTAGATGATTCCTTTCCATTAAAAAAAAAAATCCCCAAGTTTACAAAAGCACTTTCCAAAACTTTTTTCAACCAAGTATTTCCTTAAATCTTAGTTTCTCAAGAACCAACAGAAAACTAATATTAAGGTAGGTCTTAAATAGTTATCCCAGAAATTCATTGACCCACAACTGACAGAGTATTTAAAAAATAATGAAAAATGTTATTGTAAAACAAAAATAAGAAGAGTATTCTTCTTCTGTTTTCAAAATAGATTAAAATTTTCCAAACGATCTATCATCAAACGAATTTGCTATTGCCAGTTCTCCTTTTCTTTGAGCTTTTTAATTCTTAAAAACGGGTTGGAAATGATATGTAGAATATTGTACAGTGAAATCTTTGTCCTTAAAATATTATCCTGATATTTAAATCTTTGTCCTTAAAAAGAAATAATCCTGGGATTTTCTCAATGTCTTATGCTTTGCTTCAGTGATTTTTCTAAAGATTTTTCCTTCCAAACATAAGCAAGACTTTCAACTAAGGCCAGGCTGCCAACACTGCTTAAATTCTCCTCCATCCACGGAAGCCACCTGGAGCAGCCTGGGTTAAAACGTGAACGAGGGTGGGCCACATCTTTCAGATAATGCTAGGTCTTCTAAACTGTAAGGTGTTAATCCTGATCTGAAATTGACAGCTTCAGGGCAAAATGCCTATCTTAAAACTTAACACCCTAACCACCTCAACACAAGAATTACAAACAAATAAAAACAAAACTCCTTTAGGTTTCTTTGCCAAGATGGACCCAAATTTCCCCAAATCACAATCTGGCAATAAAAAATGTAAAAAGGTAAAAGCATTTATGCACCCAGACAAATGCAGTGGAGCAAAGGGTGTACGTAAAAAGGTTAACTGACTTCTCATTATGACATAACACAGGCGTCTTAAGCAATATCAAGTGTGTAGAGACATGATAACTCCATGGGTGGGGATACAGAGTTTAGGGGCAGGGACCTCAGCCTGGTCTGGGCTACTGATCTACCAGAAAACAGCCTGAAACAGGAAAGAGCACACATATGCCACTTGGAATGTATGACGCAAACCCCAGCCTTGAAACAAAGAACAGGAAACAGCTCTGCTGGCTGTGCTGGAGAGAAAGCACAGAGAAACATTTAGCCGGCCCTCCCTGACCCTATATTCATGAGCAGCTGGAGTTTTTTAAGACAACAACAGGGGGGTGGAGGTGTTTGTTCTATGGGTGTGAATAATAACACCAGCTTTATACAGGGGACCTGCCCTATTTACAAATAAGAGCTGCCACATACAGTAAACATCATAAGTGAAATGTGATTTTATCATATTCAAGCAGCAGAGACCTTCCTAACAAACACTAGCCTCCCTCCTAATTTCTTTTGTCCCTTTCTGCCCCATTCCAATGGCTACTCCCTAGCTCTGATCAAATTCCGAGTTAGGGTAATGATTATGGTTCAGCCTCAGTGCATCAAGAGGAAAAAAGAGCACTGCTGTTAGGAATTCAGATTACAACTGGGGTACCCCACAGAACCAAAACTGGAGCAATTGTAAGCCTCCTTTAGTCACAGAACTAAATTCCAAGACAGACTATGGGACGTCTAGAATAACCCAAAATTTTCACTGTCTTTTTCAAATGCAGTTATACACATTTTTTGCACAGAACTGCTCATCTGTTCAACATATACATACATTTATAGAAATTCACCTTTTAAGAATGTGATTCTGTTCCTGACATTTAGTCTAAAAATTACTATAAAATCTGTACACCAGAGTACTAATTTCTAGAAGAAATTCTAAAATGTCTACTTTCCCTTTGGGTTATTTTTAAGATGGTAAAATCCATTCACAGTTCCTTTCCCATTATTTCTCTTTACTTTGTTAGCCAGGACTGTTTAACTCAAGCTTACATTATCAAAGATTTAAGAATGTGGTGTGTGCAGACGTAAGTACAGGTAAGGAGAAAAAAAAAAAAAAGAAAAAGAAAAAAAGGAAAAAAAAAAAAGCATCACAGTGCCCATAGCAACAAGAAGATTGGGTTTTAATTTAGAAACTTTGCAGTGAATAAAACAATAGCTTTCTGCAAAACTCTGTTGTTTTGTACCTGACAAGGTTTTGTGGTCTAAGCAGCTACTTTTCTTTGTTATTCCCATGTTGAGATTTTTATACTTGCATTCTCTTTCATGCAAACTAAATGTTCTTTACAATGTATCATCATTGAACTTACCGATAGCATATTAGGTTTTTTTCTTCTAATAAATAGTTCTGCAGCAAAGCCCACTGACTGCAGAAATGAAGAAATCAGTTTCTCTAGGGAGTTTAATTTAATCAAACATCTAATTTCAGGTTTCTATTAACAGCCTAAGGTCAACTAACATACCTCTTTTCAAACCAGAAGAAATCACTCATGGACACTTCCCTTAAACACTAACTCCAAAAAATTGAGATAGTAATGCTAGCAGATTGTTTTTTCCCCTAAAAGCAAGTCTTCTTCCCTAGGGTGAGGCAAATCATCCAGACGAATTTCTCTTATAAAAATGCTCCTCAAATTCATACAGAAAAGGATAGCACAAAACTGCTGTGTGGAAAAACCTATAATGAACAACTGGCCTATTCCCCAATTGATTTTGCTGGCATGTTTCAGGTACTTGTCAGAATACCTCTTCATACTTTTCCCCATATACCAGACTCTTGTGAGAATATAATCAATATATTTAAAATGTCTTGGGTGATATTAATGGAAACATAAATTCTGAGTAAGAAATTCAGTGGTTAAGTGTAAAATGTTTATTTTAGTGAAATACAAGAAGGTGAGCAATTTCCAATTTCCGTTTAACTCGACTTATTAAAAATAAATCTCATTCACATTCTTCTAGTATTGCTGTATATTGCTATAACATTTAAATCAGAAAAGTACTCCTCCTTGTCAGTAGCTATCTGCCCCCAAAAATGAGTATGACAATTCCAAGTCTTATCTGCCATCTCTAAGAAAGCCACTTCGAAATGTTAGGTAGGTCCCATGGGTCCTGATCCAGGGATCTGTCCCTGGATCCCCATCAGGCTCGGCTGCAGGCAGTTGCCTAAGGCGTCCTCCGCCTTCAGCCACGCTGCAATCCTTGCTCCAGGCACTGCGGCAGGTTCTCTCCATGCCCCCAGGAAGACACTCCAAACCCGGCCAGCTCATTTCTCCTGCCCCGGAGGATCCAGACGCCCTGGCAGCTCCTGGGCTCCAGAACCAAGAATGGGATGCTGCCTCCAATCCCAATTGCCCCAAGTTTCTTTCCAGAGGGCCCGGAGGCTGCTCCAAGTTTGCTCTGCCGGGCAAGCGGCCGCGCGGCGTGTCCTGGGAGGGGGGCGGCGGGGGGCGCGGGCGGAGGGCGGGGAGGGGAAGGACGCGGGAGCCGGGGATGTGGTGGGGGGGGGCACCGTGAGGGGGAGGAGCAGGAGCGCGCGGCCTCGGCGCTACCTTTCTCCAAACAACGTTGCCACACGCGGAGAGCACGGATATTTCTGGGGCTTTGGAGGGAATCGTGAGCGGGCGGGAGGAGGCCGGGGACCACACAGGTGAGCCCCCGCCCGCGCCCTGCCCGGGACGGCGGCGGGCGCTGCGGTCCCGCTCCCCACCACCCGGGGTCCGCACGGTGCCTCGCCTCAACCCCTCACTTTCCACCGCGAACCCGTGACCCCCTCCTCCTTGCTCGCTCTCCGCCCCCACCCCGGCTAAGTGGAGCCGCCGCACTTTCCCAAGCCCGCAGGCGCCCCCCACACACACCAGCGCTGCACCTCGGACCCATTCCCCGCGGCCCCCTCCAGGGGAAAAAATGAAACCAGACTGGCCGAGGAGCGGGGCGGCAGGGGCCGGGGTGCGGAGCAGAGGTGAGGGAGACGGGACTTACTTTGCGAGGCGCGGTGCGGGGCGCCGCCGACGAGAAATAAAGGCCCCGATCCGGGCTGCTTGGAGCCCCCCGAGCGCAGCAATGTCAGGGCTCCAGTCCGCGCGGCGCTGGCGGCGGCGGCCGCAGGGGACGGGGACGGGCGCGCGTGCGGCGGGCGCTCTCGCTGCGCTCCGGCTGGGGCCCTGGCTCCGCGCGGCTCCGCTCCTGGCTCCCCTCTGGCTCCTGGCACCAACTCCGGGCAGTCACATGACGCCGGCGCCGCTCGCTCTGCGAGCCTCCCGGGGCTGGCGGGGTAAGTAGAGGCTGGGACCCGGGGTGGGAGGGTCAGGGAGGGGAGAGGGAGCCGCCGCGGCCGCCCGGGCTGGGCGGGTCCCCACCCACTTGGGTGGAGGGCTCAGCCGCCGGAGGGGTCGCCGAGTCCTCGCGGCAAACACCGCACCGCCCTGCGCCCGCCTTCCTCCCGCCACCCCCGCCGCTCCCGGCGCCGCCCTCCGCCCCCCCGCCAGTCACGCCGGACCGGCGCTGACAGAACATCATTTATTCCCCGGAGCCGGGCGCCCGCCCCGCCGGCCAACTGTCCGCGAGGCGCGCGGCGCGGGCCGTGGGCTGGGCGTGCGCGCGCGGCTACAGAACACACCCCCGCCCCCCCGTGCCCCCGCGGTCCCCGCCCGCGTCCCCTCCCCGCGGCCCTCCGCTCCGGCCGCGCCCCGCCGCCGGCCCTGCCGCCGCCCCGCGGCCGCCCGCCGCCCGAGCCCGGGGGGAAGGAAGGGCGGCGCTGCCCGCTCCGGGCGTCACACGGCTGCGGCCCGCTGCGCCGCTTCCAAAACACACAGCCGGGCTCGCGGACGAGCCGAGGCGGGGGGCGCGGGTGGCCAGGGCCATCGATCAGCCGGCTCCAGCGGGAAGGGCGGCCCCGGGCGCGGCGGGAAGGGCTGGGCCCCGCGGCTGGCGCGGCGCGGCCCCTTCTCGGCTGAGCGCACTCAGCTCACTGCAGGAGAAAAGCCGAGCCGAGGCGGCCGCGGTGCAGGAGCGGGTGGGCCCGGCGGGTTCGGAAGGGGAAGAGCGGCCGCTGGGGAGCGCCGAGCCTCCCTGGCCCCGAGTCGCCGGGGTCAGGGGACACCCTGTGGGCGCGCTCTTTCTTTGTGCCCCGGGGCGACGGGTCCCCCTGGCTGGCGGCCCAGGCGGCGCCCCCCGCCTCTTGGGACTTTTCTTTGAAGGCCCGGAGACCCCCAGGGCAAACCTCCCACGGGCCAGGCCTGCAGCTGTAGCTAAAAAGCGGCATTTGCGCAGCCGGGCTTGCCTGGAAACTTGGCAAACTTTGGTCGGATCCTCCCCTGCAGAACGAGGGCCTGGCCTGGCGACCCCCTCATTTCAGGTTGCTTCTAGGGACCGAGCGCCCTAAGCTCAGTGGGCTTCAGGGCGCTGCGAGCGAACGGGGTGGCACAAACGCGCGTTCTGTGCAAGCCAGGCCTCTTCGAGGACTTTGTGTAGATTGGTACCGAAGTTTAATGCCTTTTGGGTTTCTTTTTAAACAGTATTAATGTAATAATGAATGTAATAAAAAGAACAAAGGACAAATTGGTTCGATTGTTTAAGGTCCTGTGTAATGTTTAAAACCGCCCCTGCTTCGGTGTATGGCTTGTTATTGCTTCAAGATGTTTTAAAGGCCCTTTAAGTTGACCCACCTCGCTTTGATGCTTCATCCAGACATCGTACTGCTTAAAACAGAATGATAAAGTATATTCCGAGCCGCTTCACGTAGCTACACAGTGTTGTAAAATTAGTACCCGGTAACCTCAAGTAGTGAAATCGCATATTGTAAGTAACGCAAGTCCGGGAAAGGCCACGTGGAGGATACCCAGAACTGACCCCGGCTCTTGGGACGTCGTGCTGTCCCGTAAGCTTCATCTTTAAAATGTAAAGGGTGTGAGGTTTTTTTTTTTTTCTTTATAATGAATAAAAGACATTCCAGAAAAAAAAAAAGTTGGATTCGTGTCAATTACTAATTGCCGTTTATTGATCACTGACATCATTAAATGTCTGATTGGCTGCCTTAAGGTTTGCATTAGCGGAACACCGTGTTAGGAATGCCTGCTGGAACTGGCTCGTAGTAGGTGCTCAAAAAAGTATGGATTTTTCTCCAGGGACACAGTGACGAAAACTCGAAGCACATAAACCATGTTTTTTACATTGTTCATGTGGCTGTGGACGCAAAGGGGAAGAGCGAAATAGGCCTGTTAGAGAAAAGTGTGGCCCAAGATAAGAAGGGAGTGGTTTTGATATGAAAGGGGCAGGCGGCAAAGGAGAAGAAACGCCATTTTAAAAACTTAATTAGTGAACACAGTGTGTTCGGTGCCCTGTGGGAAGCTGCTCACATGCAACTTGTCAGAAATGAATCTATCTAGTGCTGGGTAGCTCAGTGAAGGACACCATCATTCTTCAAAGTGCCCAACAGGGTGGGGCGCAGTCCCTCACTCCTGTAATTCCAGCACTTTGCGAGGACGAGTTGGGTGGACCACTTGAGGCCAGCCTGGCCAAGTTGGCGAAACATCGTCTCTACAGAAATTACAAAAATTAGCCAGGCATGGCGGCGCACGACTGTAATCCTAGCTGTGTAGGAAGGCTGAGGCAGGGTAATTGCTTGAATTCAGGAGATGGAGGTTGTAGTGAGCTGAGATCGTGTCACTAAACAGAGTGAGACTGTCAAAAAAAAAACAAAAAAACCAGAAGCCCCTAAGCCCTTCTTCTCGCTAGCAGGGCATAGCCCATGATTCACTGAGTCCTGGACCTTCTTGGTCACTACCCACTCTCTGGCCACTATGCTGGCCCAGCCTGTTGCCACTGTGTCTTGTTGGTCATCCTGTTTGTAGTATGGCTGAAGCGTGAAAAAGGCGTTGGAGCACGGGAGTGAGTGCCCTTTCCAAAATGCAAGCCTAATCATGTCAGTCCTTTCAATGGCTTCCCATAGGATGAAGTCCTAAGCTTTCCACCCCTGCTGGCCTGGCCTCTGCCTGTCATTACAGACACTTCTCCCTCTTCTCCCTTCCTACTGTTTTCCAGCAATGCTGAACTTCTTTCCGTTCCTTTCTCCCAACTCGGTCTTCCCACCTCTGGCTCTTTGCACATGCTCATTTTTCTAGGTAGAAAAGCCTTGTCTTCTCCCCCAACCTGACCTCTACTCCCATTTCCCTAAATTCTATCCATCGTTTCAGTGTTGGCTTAAATGACATTTTCTCCAAATATGTATTCTCTCACTGCACCTTTGGACAACTTGAGGTGCTCTGGTAACATCTAGTGGGGCGTGACGGGAGGTGTTTGGGTCATCGGAGTGGATCCTCCTATTTCCACTCTTGTAACACTTTTCATTCTTGTAATTGGCTATTTAATGATCTCTCTGTGACACTAGACTGGAAACTCCATGAGGGCAGGGACCTTGTCTTTTCAGCAAAAATGTATTCCCAGGGCCCAGATGTTCAATGAATTGTCAAAGGAAAAATGTGGTTTATGAGTTGAGAGGAAGGAGGAGTCATTCTGAGCTGAAGAGGTGAGCAGAGGCTACAGGGAGGCAAGTGGCCATGAACTATACCTCCATCAGTCCAGGGGCTTCGAAATGGTGAAGAGGAGGGAAGAGGGAGTTACTCCCACTGAGGGCTTTTAAGCAACGGAGTGAGAGAGTAAAAGTGATGCCTGGGTCTTTTTAAGATTCCTAACGCTAGCACGGTGCCTGGAACACGGTCAGATGTTCAGTAAATCCTGCATGACAATCTCAAGTGTGATCTTTGTGGTAGCTGCTTTGCCCTTTTTCCTTGCTGATGGCAGGCCAGTCTGGTTTAGGTGTGGGAAGCCTATCTTCAGTGGAGGATACCCATGCCAGGTCCCAGCAGAGGAACCCTGGTTGTTCCCAGCCAATCCCAGTATCTTTTGCCAGTGACTGGTTGGAGGGTAGGTGTGCAACCTAGTTCTAGCAAGTGGGACATGAAGGGAAGTGTGCTAGGGGTTTGTGGGAAATCTGTTTCTTCCTGATACAAGGAAATCCCCAGACCTGCTTTGGAAGTTGTTAGGTGAGGATGTGATGCTTGAAGCTGTGGTAGCCATCTTGTATTCGTGAGAGAAAGCCAACGTTTGGATTTCCATGTGGATGGTTCTTTTTTTTCAACCATTCAGTTTTCAGCTCAGATGTTACCTCCTCAGGAATGACTTCCTTGACCACACAATTTAAAACATACCCCCCTTCCTCTTTGCTGTGGTTCGGATGTTTGTCCTTTCCAAATCCCATGTCGAAATTTGATCCTCAGCGTTGGAGGTGGGGCCTGATGGGAGGTGTTCCGGTCATAGGAGTGGATCCTCCATGGATAGATGAACACTGTCCCTGAGGATGGGGAATAAATGAGCACTTCCTATGTTAGTTTTCAAGAAAACTGATTCTTACAAAGAGCCTGGGCCAAGCGTGATGGCTCACACCTGTAATCCCAGCACTTTGGGAAGCCGAGGTGGGCGGATCACCTGAGGTCAGGAGTTCAAGACCAGCCTGGCCAACGTGGTGAAACCCCGTCTCTACTACAAATACAAAAACAGATACTAGCCAGGCATGGCGATGGGCGCCTGTAATCCCAGCTACTCGGGAGGCTGAGGCAGAAGAATCGCTTGAACCTGGGAGGTGGAGGTTGC